AAGGAGAAAGACAGAGAAAACTACTCAGAACTCATGAGGAAGACACAATAAAACTTGGAATTCATATATAAAAGCAAAGTCATACAACAACAACAACAAATAAATAACACTTATCTCTAATTTCTCCCCAAGCAAACTCCTCAAAGTTCCTCTGAATCTCTTCCTTTCTTTACAGCACACAGAATTCCTCTTCGAAGTGGCAAGGAGGAAGAAATTTCTCACTTTTCCTCCACTCTTACAATCTCTTGAAGAATTCCTCACAATTAGACTCTCTACACTTTCCCAACACTTAAGGCCCCCCTCTTGAGCCCCTTCCCCTAGCCAGAGCCTCTAATTTTTGGCCAAAATCTTATTTTTAAAGATGTGGATGAGTTTTCCCAAGAGTTGCCTAAGCATCCCTCCAAAATACGTCCTCATCCAATGTATTCTTGAACATAATCGCCGATCTTACCGTCGACGGGCTTTCTAAATCATTAAATCTGGGGTCTCGAGAATTTTTTGTTGTCGACGCCCTAGCTTAAATCTTCATATTTTGGTCCTTTTCGCTCCAAGTTCGCTCCTTTTTGCATCTTTTTGCTCCAATGACACTAATTCATCATTCCTGCAACAAAATATCAAAAATACATTTCTTTAAAGTGCAATATCATAAAAAATAATGTAAAATAGGTATAAAAATCTCAACATATTTTCCTTTGGTCTTGATGTATGCAGTTATATGCTTAATTATTTTAATAATAATTCTTACTTTGCAACGGTGCCAAAATTTGATCCCAAGAAAAAGCTAGGTAAATTCTTCACTATGAAGCAAATAAGAATAAATTTATAATATTTTAATATGGGATACTACGCGAGTATACGTATTGTTGTCAAGTAATATAGGAAGTAATATAGAATTTTTTTATTATGCCCCAATTATCGAACCCACAGGGAAAACTTGATAATATGCACTCTACAAAACAAGAGAAATTAGATAACAAAATTCTACTTAGCAAAATATTCTTACTTAAACTTGAGATGCTATAATAGGAATAAAAATTTAATTTTTTTTTGTAATTTTTTGGATAATTGAAAATAAAGTAAGCAATAAATAACTTAACTAAATATTTGCAAGATGAAGGCAATAGAAATAAAATATTTTTTTCTTGTTCATGAATTAGTAACAAGTATAGAAAATCTGTTGTGAAAGTATTCTAATTGTGTTGTGCCAAATAGGAGCAATAATATTATTTATTCTTACTAGAGATGTCATAAAGAACATTGGCTAATCTATAGTTTGAATAGTTTTGAAGACTGGTTAGGTAGAGAAGATACTAGCTCTCACTATAGGGTTACCGATTCTCCATCCACCTAGGAGATCACATCTTGTATCATAACCTAAAACTATAAATACTATAAATCAATAAATCAAACTGGGGGCTTTAGCCTGTCACTCTAAAGTCCTCTAATTCTACACCCTAGAAAGTTTATTTCCCTATTTATTTTTACTCAACCCCATGAACTACATTCTCATCCATGAAATCAAATGTAATTCTTACCATTTGTTGACTGAGACAATACCATCTCAAATCTTATATGTTCTCACAATAGATATTAACATCTTAATTTGTCAAATCAATGAGTAAATGAAGTACAAGGTTTCAAATCATCACAACTTCTTCCAACATTGAAGTCTAACACTTCACACAACTTCCTTTCGATACTTAATCACTTATCATTTTAAGGAAAAAGATAAAGAAAGCTACTCATAATTTATGGAGAAAACACAGCTACACTTGAGTTTAAAAGTATAAAGCATGCACACAAATAAGAAATCTAAATTAAAACCAAATGTAGTCACAAAGATAAACACTTATCTCAAATCCTCTCCACCAAATGTCTTGAAGTTTCTTTGAATTTTCTCATTTCACTCACAATACAAACTAAAACTTAAAATAAAATAAAATAAAAAGGTGGTCGGCGGCGGCAGTTACTAGGACTAATGATGGCTGTTGGATGTGGACTGGTTGGCCTCTCCCTTTGATGATCCAAGTTTTCTTTAATAAAAATCCAAGTGGTGTCTTTGTGTCTCTTAAAAATGTGTATCCATTCAATGATTCTTCTAGAAGTTGTCTCCTTTCAAAAGCCAATTGGATGAATTTTCGTATCAATGAACTATTTCTCACATTTTTACCACGGGTTGCTTCAAACACCTTTTCAAAAATTTGTCTAAAGTCAATGAATCATCAAATAACTACTTCTGACGCTTAAGCGCGGGGTACCTGACGCTTAGGCGTGGCTCTCTCTTCATTTTTTCACCTTCTTCAGTTTTGCTCTAAATTTAATCATTTTTCACTCCTTTTATCATTTTTCATCCATTCGATTATATCTGAAAGAAAAATACACAAATATCTTTCATTAAAGCAAAATATCTCAAAAAATAGGTATAAAAATGTGTACAAAAATACTATATATTTTAGGT